CACACTTGGGGATGATCCATCCCTCAATTCCCACCCCACAAGCACTCCCACAATTTGGGAAATCACGCCAGGTATGTCTGCACTGCCAAATTTCAGACTTACTGCCCTGGACCTCTCCCACAACTCATGTAATGTGAATAAAAAGCACCTAAGGGCGGCAGAGCTTTTCCAGATCTTCATAAAAATGTGWGTGGGGAGGGATGGGGAACAGCATTCTGCTCTCCTTCCATTAAAATTTGTTTAAGGCATTTTGCTCAAAATTAATAAGAACAACTCCACTGTGTAAAGACAGTACATTGAAAATATCAGCCCCAAAGGTGATTTAAATAAAAGAGGAAAAGGGAAGGCAGAAGGATTTCTGTGAGATGATATAGTTTCTAATGGATACAGTTTGTAATGGAAACGGGCACTCTTGAATATATATATTTTGTTACATATAATTATATCTACAAGTATTAAATCAAAATACAAGAAATGAAAAATAGTTATTAGGCTCATCTAGCCCACCCCTTTGTTCACACAGGACCCTTCCTTGCACGGTGCCTTTGAAAGCTCCCATTTAGAAACCCCAAACAATAAATCTGCTGCTTCTTTAGGGGCATTTCCTCAGCCAAATAGATGAGATTTCCCTCAGAACTCTGCCAAACTTCCCCTCCCTCCCCATTAATTTCATGTCACTGTCCCCTGTACCACCCTGCAGAATGTCTCCACTCCTCCAGGCTCACTGCAAACAGCAGGAGGATTTTCAGGGTTTTTTTTTTTGTCTTCAGTATCCATCCCTCATCTCTCTTCCAACCCCCTTCAGCATTCAGGTTCTTTGCTTGGACCCTCCCAATTTGCCTCATTTTCTTTCTGGCCATTAAAACACCAGTGCAGAGAAAATTCAGGAGCTGCACTGATGTACCTGACACACCTGCTGCAACAGGAACGGTCTGAAAACACTGGGAACACTTGGATTCAGCTAAAATCCTGCTATTCCTGAGAAAAGCCTCATTTCTGGGGAAAAAGGGACTCCAGCCAAGGTCCCCTTTGTGATTTAACCCTCACCTTAGTGTTAAACATTAACATGGACATCATTAAGCAATTAACTCTTCAGGAAACACAAACTTTGATATTATATATATATATATATATATATACAGAAATATATATATATACAGAAATATATTTATATATATATTAGTACCCCAGACACTGATCTGATCTCTCCATTTCACTTCCAAGGTCATTGCCCAAACACCCAAGGAAAGGAATTTTGTGTTATTTAAGAGATATCAAGCRCTGACAAAGAGGAGAACAATTTATTCCCTTTAATTGGGAACAAACATAAATCCCAGCAGAGACAGCAGGGACTGAGAACCAAACAAAACTCCAACCTCTCCCTTTGTCCTGAGCAAAGAAAAAGACTCAAAAGGGGTGACAAATTTATTACTAATTATACAATTATTTTATTATGTAGTGCTAGTAATAAACCACTTSAAGTACTTTCAGCTAATTCTAGTGTTAAGAAAATAATTGCTTGATTCAAATTATTTTAACTGAATTAATTCTTTACTAGACATTTTTTACTAGTGCTACATAATAAAATAATTGTGTAATTAGCAATACATTTTTCACTCCAGCCACGGGTATATATTTTACTCAGGTGAAATGCAGAAAAGAGTGGCACTAATTGTTTGAACAGGGCAGAGGGAGKAGGAACAGAGAAATTGGGGGGCCTTGATGCTTTCTCAGAATCCCAAATTCCCCTCAGGTTTRGCAGGTGCCATTGGGACAGGGTTTTATTTCCCAAAAATGGTCAGGGAAGCATTTTGGCACCCAAGGATCTTTTGGGATCATCCCTCCTGGGACCCTGCATGCAGCACTGCACCCCCAGCAGCCTCGGGGTCCTGATTTAGGAGCTGATCAAATCCTAATCTTTATTGTTTTTGAAGGCAGAGGAGCTGCAGGGTGAGCAGAGCTGTTTGAGGAGGGTGGGCAGTGCCCGAAGAGCTCTGTGCCCATAAATCCCAACCCCAAAGCCCTCCCTGCCCCTCCAGAGCAGGACCCCAAGGCAAACCCCAAACAACATTGGCCRCGACACCCCAAAACCCCTCACCCAGCCCCTCTGCACCCCGCTGAAGTGCTGATTTTTATTTTTATTGTTATTTCTGACCCGTCCCAGCACGGAGGAGCAGTGCAGCGGGAGGTTCAGTGTCGGGGGGATTTGCCCAGTGCTAATTTCCAGGGAATTTCACGCTCCACGTCTCCCCGTCGTGGGTCAGCGCCGGTTCGCCCAAATGAAGCCCCGCCAAATGGYTCCTCCAGAGGAATATTCCAGCAGGTTTTTTTTTATAATTTAATTTTGCATTATGCTCAAGAGTCTCCTGGMCACGGAGAGAGCTCATTGGGGAAACCACACCACCACCACCACCACGAGCTGCCTCGATTTATGGCATTATTTATTTATTTTACGGCAGGAATTAGACCTCCCAGGCCGACTAGGAAAGAGGGGGTTTATTCTTTTCCCTCTTTTTCTTTTTTATCCCTCCCCCTTCACTAATGTCAATTTTCAGCATAGCAAGAGCTGTCTCTAATCTTTTCCTACTCATTACACACAATTTTGGAGTCATTTTACCCACAGTGCAGTCAGCTCCTGGCAGTGTGTTTGTGTGCACTGAGGGGTGGCATAATTGTTTATTTTCCCTCCCTGCATAATCCCCAGCCAGCACTGAAACCAAAACTGCAAACAACTCCCCGAGGGACAGCGAGAGTGTCAGGAGACACCAGCAGCAAGCAGGAGGCTGGAAAAGGCATGGAGAAAGGTGCAAAATGCCATGGCTCCATCCTTCCTCCTCCTCCTCCTGCGTGGGATGAGCTGGGATGTGCAATATCAATATTATCAATATTCACATCCTCGTGCTGCCTGCTGCTGATCCCAGCTCCAAAGTTAAACCCAGTTCCTGAGGAACCCAGCAWGGCCAGATCTGACATTTTGAGGCAAAACAATATTTAAGGACTCAATCAGGGAAATAAATGAGGTAAAATCACATCAGCAGCTTCCCAGTGGGTTGTGTGGCTGGGAAAGCAGCTCATGGAGAGAGTGCAGTAGCAGCACATGGAGCAGAATCCACCCTGAAAGTATTTTCCAGAGGGAAAAATTAAGGATTCAGCAGAGCCCAGCAGCCTCTGCCACCCTGAGAACTCAGGGCATCTGTAACTCTGTGCTGTGTTTGTGAACACACAGGTAAGAGGCTCTGATCCAACATTTCACTTCAAATTTTCCAGTATYGATCTCACATCCCTGGCACTTCACAAAATTTCAAGCAGCCCAGACAAAGCACCCAAGTGCTGCTTACCTTTCATCCCCCCAGAGAAGCCTCTCCAGTTGGCAAAGACCATCAGGGGCAGCCCTTCCCTGTTGAAATCCTTGATAGCCTCGGCTGTTTTGAAGGCAGARTCAGGGAACCACACCTGCCCAGCTTGCTGGATTATCTGGAGGGGGAAAAAAAATCCACTGTGAAGGCTTGAAACACATTAATGTAAGAGTTAAAATGTGGAAAAATCAACAGGAGGTGTGATGTGGGAAAAATATTGAGGAATGTGGTGAAATGTGTGGGATCTGCTTGGCCATGGGAAAAAAAGGGACAATCCTTTGGTCACCAATTTCAACAGGGGCATTGCCACTAATTCAGCTCAGAAAAGAGAGTATGGAAAGCCTGACACTGTAAAGAGGGGAAAGAGAAAAGGAAAACCCTGGAGAGAGGATGGGAGTGTGAATCCAGGAAAAAGTCAGGGCAGGAAGGCCATGGAACACCCCGGTCACAGCAGAGAGGGGATCTTTGTTTGTCCCATCTCCAGGGCCTGATCCCTGCCCCTCAATGGAGTCCTG